GATAAATAATTCCATGTCCTTCGAACATTGTTGAACCGTACGGTTTTGATAAAGTTCATATGCTTACGGAATGTCTTCTCCGTTGATTCGATGCCGCTGTCATCTCCAAAAGGGATGTTCTGACTTCTCCTGTGATATACTCTAACTGTAAATGTCTCTACTATAAAAAACTCTACTATAAATGTTCCCTATTGTTGCTAATTATAGTCCGCTATTCGGAAATCCCTACATCTGCTTTATATAATCTCGTCGCGACTTTCCCTCACAAGGATTCGGGTGAAACCTCTATCCGCGACTACCATTTCCTTTAAATTAACAATTTAATATTCCTAATACGGAACTAACCTCATGTAAAGCCACGAACACGAAGTCTTAATCTTTTTACATGCAAAATTCCTACACGGCAACAAATGTAATTGTCATTAAAAAATGCCAACATTTACCCACTCAAATGAACAACACTGCTTAGCTTACACTGTTATGAATCAAACAAACTTTCACCTACAACGTAAATCTACTATGCAAAATTAATATGTTATAATGTTCATTACCATCTGAACTACTTGGCTGCTTCCGTGAGAATGAGAAAATCTATCATTTCGCTGAAGCTAAATTTTCAACGCTCTCTCCTAATTAATTCCATGTTAACGACACCAGGCTGTGCTGTACCTCGACAATACACAGTTCCCGTCTAGCATGCTGCAGGGCACGCCTATATGTCTATTGTTCGCGCGAATTCCTTGGATGCTATGGATGCCATGCTTGGATGCGATGGGCGCGTATTCCATGGCTATGCAACGCGTATTCCTTGAATTTTAACATTCTTGATGCATCAATACCGTCGTATCACACCCGTGTGACATCCTGGTTTGTCACATTACATTTCTTGCAGAAACGAAACGTTAGCAATTGCATTAACAACATTGAGTAAGAATTAAAACTCACCTCTGGAATCACTATGTTCCGTACCATCATTATTATGATTGTTTTGACACATCGCCAATATTATGCGTGGTCCTTCGCTTAACGTGCTTCACTTAGAACTGTATTGCTGGCAACAGAGATCTTCCGCCAAATTGGCGCTTTGCGAGATTATAATGACGCGAAAAAGTTCTCGTCGGGACTTGGCGCGTTTGATTGCTTTCAATTATATAAATTAACCCGGCGTTTTCCCGCTTTCTTCTTATATAATCCTTCTGAATGAGGAAAAATATCAAAAATATATAAACCGCTGTGTTTAAGATGATTGTTTTTAATGTAATTGGTTCGATTTAATAAAATACTATAGTTTTATTTTGTTATAATATACAGTACTTTGCGATTTTTTTTTCATTTTAAGCACTGCTATAGGCCATTATCAGACTACGAGTATGTAGCTGTTCTGCTCCACCGCGCCCTGCCTCTGGCGTCCGTTTGGCGCTATAGGAATATTCAGGCTCAAAGTAAGAGGATCGTACCAACTTCATGAAAATCACTTGGCATTGCCGTTTTTTTATAATATTAATGTTCTTTTACTTTTCTGGGAACTTGTTATAGAGATGATGATCTGTATAATATGACCCTTTTCGACTGAGTGTTTTTGAATACATGTGTTAAAGATTTGATTGCATATTTGTACATTTATAAATACATAGTTTTTGAACTTTTTATTTTCACTTTTAGGATTTTTCTATTTTTAAATATAATTCTTTAAAGTATTTATTGATACGGTAATAAAAATACTAGAAATGATTTAAAGATATGTCTACAGAATTTAAGTCTGTTAACATATACTGGATGAGCTAATTTTATTTTAATTTGTTGTTCTGTGTTCGTGGCGCTTGACTCTGAGAAAATTATTGAATTTTTAAAATACTTTTCAGTCTTAGTTGACCCAAAAAGAAGTGTACGTAGTACACAATGAGAACAAAGATTTAATATTGTGTGGCCAGAAAGCCCATAAGCAGATCTAAAAAAATAAGTAAAATGACACTAATTCTGCTAACATTTTCTGCAAAATGTGAAAAGTTTAAAAATAATATTTATTACCAGGATACATGGTAAATGCATTATAATATTCTTGCATTTTAATTTTCATCTTTTCTATTAAGTTCATATATTAATATATTATATTAAAATGTTTTAAGTAGTTATTGTATAAATTAATTCGTTTCAAGTGTTAAAAGTAGTTATCCAGAGGTGTGAAGTGATTAAAAGCTGGGAACTCAAGCACATACTGTTTCAAGGCTTAATCCTTGTCATAGCACTTGCAATCTAACTGAATGTACGGTCTCAGGCAACGGGATACTTCAATAAGAATGTCCTTGCAAGATCTTACCAGGGAATGGAAAAGGCGAGAATGTTAGGAAGCAGGATTTAGAGCACATATCTTAGTTATCTAAATTCATTGACACATTTACCACAAGGAAAATGAGATTCAATATCTTAAATTAAATAAAGTGCTATAAATACATTACTTACATTTTTAGGGTGTCATCTACAAACTGTAAAAATGGAGTGGAGCATGTTGAGAAAATTATGGATGAAAATAGAGAGAAGGATGGAGTATATTGTGAAAATAAATTTATTATACATCTGAAGGGGACATTGTAGATATTTAATGACACAATGCCCAAGTGTAATTATTAAGAAATAAATTTACTAGGTAAAAATAATTAAAGATCATGTTTTAATTCTTCGTCCTTAGTTTTCACTGTTGAATGTTAGGATCGGGCTATTGTGAAATGCAGAAAATAAAATTTAAGAAATACTCTGATATTCATTTCTAAATATTTTTTTCATTCTTTCTATATCCTTATTAATAATTAACACTCTTTGTAAGAATGTAATTTGTTAGTTTATTCCCCCAAAGTTTTCTAATTATATGATGTATTTTGTTATGAAGCACAATATTAATTTCGCATATTTCAGCATTAGAAGTTTTAGAAGAAAATTATCCAAATAATTGGTTTAAATGATAAATATTTCAATGTTTTAAAAAATTCAGTTACACAAGTTTTTGATGACAAATTTCTCGAATTGCCTATATTTGAATGTAGCGCAAAAGTCTAGGTTTCATGTGCATTTTTGAAGTTGGGGGACCGACAGTTTGCCATATTGAAAATTCTAGGGACCAAAACACGCTAAACACCCCAGTATCAGTCTGTAGTCCAATATCTGCTCCAGTAAACGTAAATGCAGTAGTGCAGCTCAGTCCATATTTTGGTCAGCTAGTGTTACATTGTGTGTACACGCGCATACAGCTGGCAATCCTATTTGATACAAGTAAATCTACGAATAGCTGACGTCAACGCCATCTTGAATTAACGCCCACCACTTGAATTAACACTTCCATATTTTTGTTTCCTAATTGTTTAAGATTTTAAAACTCCACAAGCACGTTTTTGGAAATTTCTTAGAATCTTCTGGCCGGATCCGAAAACAAATTATCAGTTCCTTATCAGGAGACAGAGACAACCCAGCGTCGAAAGACAACCCACTTGTCTCTGTTGGTGCACGGGAAGTGGTCTAGCCGTGAGTGACGGGTCCGCACACACGCTCATACCTACACTGGGAGTTACTGAAATACTGTTTAGGAATTAATGAAATCCAGCAAAGGTTAATGTGTGGCAAAACTCCAAGGAAAGAATTTAACCTCTCTTCACCTTTTCTGAGCGAAGCATTTTGTGAAGAGAGTTTCACCGAATTGGAACCAAGTTTTTATTGCCTTTTAAAATACTGGTTTTATATCTCTTATATCAGTTCCTAAGTTAACGTTAGTGACATTCTGTTTCAGTGATGTAATGTAAACGAAATTAATGAGCCTGGGATTGTCCAACGAGAATATTGTAAACAGAAATATGAAAATGGTTCGGTCAGTAGCCAACGTAGCTAATGAACTTTACCAGCCCCTTTCAGCGAGTGGAGCAATTTGATTGGAGTGCGCTTGAGAGCCTGAGAGCCCGGCGGCCCGCTCGGAGCGCGTTGGGAAACGCAGCGCCGCTCCCGTGGGACGCAGCGGAGCGCACCCCTCGCAACTCTTGCTCGCACGCGGGGCCTTTGTTCTGTACCACTTGCCTCCATTCCCATGCTTTTTAGGTTGGTTGTGACTTTGGTAAGCTCTTTATGGAACGTTTTGAGAATTCGTTGTGGGGATTGAACGTCGTAAATGGAACTCGTATCTTCAACGCGCCTGCCCCCTCCAACGCCGCCCCTGCCGCACCCACTCCCCAAATACCCTCGGCGCATGATTTTCTATTTTGTGTGCGGTGCATGAGGGTAAAATGGCTACCATACAGCCACATGACACATGAAAATGTGTTTGTCATGATGAATTCGTATGCGATTCTTATGCATTGGCTGACAGGGAGGTCCAAGTTTCGTGTCCCGACACTAGCTTGTCAGCTAGGTGGAATTCATTCGTTGCCTGGAGGAGAATTCTAGCGGTCGGCTGCCCTGATCGTTAGTTTTCCGTGGTTTCCCCGATCAACACCAGGAGAATACCGGCGTTGTACTCTAACAAACGGGCCACGGACCACGCGCGATCTGATTTCCTACCTCTTCGTTATCATTTCTCTCCCCCCGTACACACACACATTAACACGCACTACACAAGCACATAGTGAGATTGGTCGGGAGTGTTCTGCTAGTTCCGGCTGGGGTGATGCCCCGCTGGTGGGAGATACGTGGTTAGGGAAAACCCCACGAACCTACGGTAGGTCGGCGCCGGATCTCCCTATACGAGGGAAAGATCACCGCCACCTCTCAAGCAAAAACATGCACTACACTCACGGGAATATTGAACCACGTAGTTGACGTTCCCGGTATCTCTAAAACAAACCCACCCTTTCATTGGTCCGTCACCATTCGCAATGTCCATTTAATACATTGCAATTTGCCTTATGGCATTTGTTTTTTTGAAGACCATGTATTTCTTGCTGAAAAAGGATTTGGAAGGGACATGGAACGAGCAGAATTAGAGGATATGATAGTAATAAAAGAATAAGTAAAAAACGGCAAAGTGTAAAATGATTCTGTAGAGTCTTTAATTAAAATGATCAACCATTCTCTTAATGAGCAACAGATGTACATCACACAATGGGTCCATGATCTACATCCATCAAATATGTATGTAGTGCTTCAGAAAGGACTACAGGATGAGTTTGGAAACAAAACCTTTTGATGATCCATTTCTTGGAAAGGAGCGCCGTTACTCAGCGCCCGAGACGTGGGTCGTGGGAGGGGCGTGGAGCGGAGCTGGCGAGTGCGGGGGTGAGGCGAGGGCGTAGGCTCAGTTGCGCCCGCGGGCGTCGAGGGGCAGCGGCGGCAGGTTGCGCGCCTCGGCGGCGGTGGCGACGATGGCGGGCGCGATGACGTCACTCTCGGGCCGGTAGCCGAAGCGGTCGGCCACGTACCGCACCACGATCTCGCGGCCGTCGTCGGCGCGGTACGAGTACTGGCCGCGCACCGTCTGCGCCGGCTCGTCCTGCGGCCCCTGCGCCGGCTCCAGCGACCCCTCCTGGTTGGCGCTCGTGCCGTCGGCGCTCTCGAACCTGCAACGCACCACGCTCTCCTGCACTCGCGCCCGGGAGGTGGCCCTTCAGGAAACCCCTCGCACCGCCACTATCTCAATTGGCCTCCCGGCGTCTGTTGATTAATGATTCTGAGCGCGACCACTGCTAACGACATTAGTCCTGTAAGAGTAGTGCGTGTTTGGTATCGCGGTAGGTGGCGGTGATCTTCGCCCATTGGATGATTAGATCCAGGGCGGACCTACACGTCGTTGTTTTCCCCAACCCACTAGCCCCAGACAGTGCGCCACGTCCACCCCAGGCAGGACAAGCTCTAGGCAGTGTAGAGAATATAAGTGCAAGTATGTGTAAGAAGGGGGTAAGGATAAAACAAAAAAGAAGAAGGAAAGATCGCGCGCGGTCTGGCCTATGTGTTAGGGTACTTCTTCGCCCTCCATTATTCGATTTTGAAATTTTATGATGTGTCAAACTATTTGATATTTCTCAACATTAGGGCGCGAATAAAATGAAAGTCGTGAAGTGAAATGAAATTGGGTGAATATTCTGAAATTAAATACTTTTTCCCTTAAAGCTCCTTCAAAAACGATCCTACTTCCGACGTCGAGAGATCGGTGCCTCATGAGACTTTGAAATAAAATGCTCCGCGCAGACTAAATATTGTTTCATCCTAATCGCGAAGACCTGTAGACAGAGCTTCGTCACCAACTCCTATGTATATCGAAGCGTGCCCCTAATGTGCCAATAGCATAGTGCATAGTTGTCCTAATAAGCAGTAGCATAATGCATAGAATGGCATAACGGTGTCACATTAGGAGACCTTTCATATCGTCTATGGTTGATAATTAGTTGAGTTAATTTCTCCACGTGCGGTATGAAGAGAGATAAAGGCCAATTACTATTTCCCAAAAAAAAAACAAATTTAAATACAATATATAATTATAATTGGAATCGATCATTTTACCTGTACAAAATTTACTAGATCACTTAAACCTACTTCTGTGATCTTATTATTATTTTTAATATTTATGTTGTTGAATTTAATTGAAACTTTATTTCAACGTATTTTACCAAGCAAATAAACTGGTTGAAGGTTCAGAAGAATATTTCGATTCATACGTTTTCGAGATTAAAGACAAAAATGGAGCTGCGAGAAAATAACGCAAACTGGCTTATTAATTGTAGAAAAGAAACCTTTGGTGTGAATGTAAATACAAATATGACCGCACGCGCTCATTAGTTCTATATGAAACTATACAATAAATCCGAAGCAATAACAACCGTTATTATTTGTTACATGTGTGTAATTTTGTAAGGAGACGGAAAACGTTATTATATCCTGCGTTTACCCAGCGTCCTTCTGCCTAAACTTCTTGCCCGTGTTATTTCCCTAGAGCCCCGCTAGATAAGTGGCGGCCCAATAGCAGCAATAGCGTCCGTAGCCGGCGTGTGTCATGGAGATTGAAAAAGTGAGAATGGTTGCGCCGGGAAGGAGGTCCGTGTGAGAAAGTAGACAGAATAAAAGCAGCACGCGTGGGCCCAGGAACATAACGGCGCTCCTCGCCTCCTCTCCCCCTCCTCCTCCCCCTCCTCCTCATCCTCTGCCGCCGCCGCCGCCGCCGCCGCGGCGCCAGCACCAGAAACCTTGATGCGCAGCCGACTCGCGCGCGCGCCTGGTGGCAGCATTTGGCCTGAAGAGGTCTCGCCCCCCCCCCCACCGACCTCAAATTACATCCGTTGGCTAACGCAACAACAGCCTCCCCCGCTGTCGCCTCGCGTTCACCGTTTTTTCTCACGCGTGGCATTACCACCCGAAGCTTCGGAACGCTGCCTCTTTCTGGACGCGCACTAGCCCGGGAGCCGTGAACGTAATTAGGAGTGAGCCGTGCATGTGGAGTGGCCCGCAGCGCTCCGAAGACAACACGTGCGCTCGCGTGGGCCGAGCGCCGAAACGAGAGGGATCGGCTCGCAAATTGCGGGGAACGAGGCGGCGAGAGAAAGCTCCGGAGAAGGGACTAAGGTCGAAACATTTGTGATGAATGCCACAGGCGTGTTCGGAGCTCAAATACCAGATGGCGTCTCCCGCTTCATCGATTGTAATTTGTGCTTGCGATTGTCGAGAATTTAACTGCACGTCATGACGAACAGAAAACAATTGCCCCGACCTTGATTATTTGGTTCAATTAAAATAATAACGATATTGGTAAACTACTCAAAGAAAGGCATTAAATGTGCAGGGCGTGTTAACGCCTCAATACGTCTGTTTGCAGTATTAGTGGTCGATGCCATCGCACCGTGACCATTCACGAGAAGCAGAGGCGCGTGACGCGTGCGCAGCCTTACGCCCAGGAGAAGCGGCCGTCGACGGAGGGCACGTTGGACTGCGCGATGATGGGCACGGGCTCGCTTCCGCGCTGCACCAGCCCGATGTCGGCCAGCGCCCCGCCGCACAGCACAGCGCACACGAGCAGCTGCAACACACAGGCACGTCAGACCTCCTGAAAGCAGCAGCTACACCCTTTCGAAACGATCGACTTCGTCAACCGTAACACGCACGTAATCACAATGACTCTACTGTCTACATTCCAATGCATAGCAGATTCTGCCAGTGGTTAAGACAGAAACTCGATCACCGAAAAAGGTAATCAGTATTTTAAGTAAGAGTAATTTGGCTGTGCTGCGAATGTTGCTGTAGGTCACAAAACCCGAAGGTCCGCAGTCCACGCCGAGCGAACACACACACTCGTTCACCCGCGCGCCGCCCGAAGCGCAGCCTCAGGAGCCCAGCAGACTTACCACTCTCATGGTGATCTGGTTGGAGGCAGAGCACGACTGACGCGGGATTCCGTCTGCGTGCCTTATATACAGGAAAGTCTGGCGGCGCGTTATATTTTACATAAATTACACCTCCACCGCCCCTGCCGCGGTCGCCTCCGGAGGAAGGGGTAGAGGTGAACATTTAGCGGCGGCGGGGCGGCGCGGCGGCGGCGGCGCTGCCTGCTCGCGCCCTGGACTCGCCATTTGCCCCCTCCGCCGGCCCCCGCCCCCCTCCAGGGCGCGCGCGGCGGGCGGGGCGGGCGGGCGGGCGGGGCGAGGTGAGGTGCGCTTGGGCAACGTGATATCGCCGGTCACCGCGTCTTGCCATGACCTTCCGACGGTTGAGGGCCTCACCCCCGCCCCCCATCCCCCCACCCGCCGCCCCCGCCCCCAGACGCACGTGAAATATGCTCCTGACCCCTGGCGCGCAGTGACGACCAGACCAGAACGCGCAGGGTCGCCAACATGTCACCGGATGCTGCTGCTTGCGCACAAATGGCAGACGAGGAAGACGACGAATTCCTGAGCTCGTGCAAATTGCGCTTGTACCATGTACGCAAATCGAGTTAAATGATTCGTGGGCGTCCAAACCGAAACTCTAAGTATAGAAAATTGTCGCGAAATGAAACTAGATGAACTCATCATGAACAATGAATAAAATAATTGCAAAAACCGCATTGTATTGTTCTAAAAAAGTGCATCCTGAAGAATGTCATTCTTAATTATTTTTTTCTAAAGGATACGCATTGAACATCATGTTGGACAGTAGAAATGAAAGACTTTTTTCATTATATTCTTCAGTATTAGCTCTGCTTTCACATTACTCTTGATGTAAATGATTTGTTTTCTGTTGAGATGAAAGATGGATCCCAGGGTCCATCCTACATTTGCGACACCATGGAGCTCTTTCTGACTTGTATTACCTCCAACTCTCTCGCCCGGCGATGTGAGAACCAACTTGAATGCTAATGTAAGACATTTACGCAAGTCATTTGTTTTACATCGACTCCGCTGCCCGTCTTGCTTTCAAAGATTTTTGTCGCGCAGCAGAACCCTCTCTTTAATGAGTCTATCTAATCTATAGATCTTCTTTCTTTCTCGAAGCAGCGCCTGTGAACTACAGTAGGCCCACGATTTCCATCCCAGAGGTATTTTCATATTTCTTAACAAAATCTAGAGCTGGAAAGTAGTATTTTGAAGTTAATATAACTTTCTGTTTCCAGTGAGCGTTGGCCATCTTTTTAATTTTTAATTTGCAACAAATAAACTATAAGATATTATATTTTCAGAAAACTGCAAAACTAGAGTTTATGCATAATCCTGGAGCGTACATGGACACTAACTAAATAATGTTCCATTACGGTTCCTCAAACTCAACGAATGCATCTATTGATTTTAAGTTTTGCCACATAAATATTCAACAATATGATTACCGCACATTAAGCCAGGATTTTTAAAATCATATTTATTAATAAAACGTATTGTAAACTAAGTGTTACACTTATAAAACAAAGTTTAATTTATAAAACATGTAATGGTAATTCGTAAATGAAAATTTTGAAATGAAATTGTTTACTGAGGTAATTTTGTATACTTAGAAAAAGGGTTACAGGCTTTTCTTTTAAAAATTGCAGTATAAATTTATATTTTAAGAGAGTAAAGTAATTTTAATGAATTTTTGTATAACGTTTTTAAAACTGTAATAGGTATTTTGTGAACAATTGTTTGCGAGTATCGTACATTCGAAATTTTATTTTCGAATTTTTAAAACATTTTTATTTTCTACTTCAAGTACATTTTTTATTTTCACATTTCGTACTTAATAGATCATCTCTTGATTATTTTATTTTAATTTTATTTTATTTTATTTTAAGAAAATCAGTTTTTAAACGCTTTTTTTTTATCTTACGCTTTTTAGTTACAGGGGCATACATAACTAAAGCAGAATATATCGCTACCTGAAGAACCTAATACTTCTTTCAAATGAACATTTAGTCTAGTGAACTTTCTAGTCCTTTAGTTTAGTGAAGAGCTGGCATCACCAAACTCCGAGATTTCTCAGCGACCATCATAATAATCTGAAATAGACCAACTAGTGTTGCTAAAACAGAACATACTTTCTGGCGTTATATCTGTATTTATAATTTCCGAAAAGCCGCAGTGTTCAACGAAAATGAGTTCTGCGTGATTCTTTTAAGTGTCCTTTGTTTTATCTGTGAAAAAAATTAAAGAAATCATTTCGAACAGTTTTTGAGAAAATATTTTGTTTATAAAATTGTATTAACTTCTAGCACAAATGACGGGAAAATGACTGTTTTTTTAATTAAAGACATTTTTAAGGAAATAATTCTTTTAAAAATTTTAAAATTGAAAACAGCAAAATTATATAATAACTGATAACGAATAAGTACAATGAAATTAAAGTGTGTGCTTAAAGTAGTTTATAAATTAATTTTCTTTAAAATATTTTTTGTTCAAACCCATAAACAAAGATTCTAATACAAGTATAAATAACTTACGTTGGTTTCTTTGACGTTGCATGTACTCACAAATAGAAGTCTGACTTAGTCTTAATAATTGTTAGTAGTATGAGAAATTCTATCACTAGTTAAATTTTTGTAATAACTAATATGGGAATGTTACGTATACATTTTTATTAATTTTATTTATCTATAAATTAATTGTCATTTAGTTTTGGGACTACATTGTGCAATTTCATACCCGATCCTAATTAAATAATATTTCTGTAATTTTTGTCAGTGCATTCATATAAAACAGAACTTAGGTAATACTGCTACTGAGTAAATATTTACTAGTTGAAGCCAAGCAAGAAATCTGCTTTTTGTAAATCATTGTTTTAAAACCGTAAATTGTGTGATATTAAAAGGCGATTTCGAATATTTAGACAACGGATTGTGCTTTATGCTGACGTACTGTGCAGGGATATATTTAATACTGATAAGAATTTATTTGCAAAAAGCTAGGTCCAAGCTACAATATTCGGCGTAGTATAAAGCATTTAACATATGTACATTTAGGGATTCTTCACTTTTTTACTACCCGTGCGATCGTGTGTAATAAGAACAACTGAATCTCCAAAGAGTTAATAAAATGTTTAATGTTCAGAAAAAACACATAAACGGAGTTTTTGATCGATGACGTACACAAGCGTTTTTTCTCAGCGTATTATAGTGGAAGGGATTTTTGGTATCGAGGATTATTTTCAAGTAGTATGAATAAAAATAATTTTAATACTATACTGTTTCTTTGACTTACTGCAATTAAACAGAGAAACAAAAAGCCACTATTATTTGTAGGTCTCCGGGTGTTAAGTCTACCGTCCGTTAAAACAATCGAAATATAAGACTTGTTGATGAACATGCATACTTCTATTCCAAGAAAAATGTTTTGATATTTATGTAATAGTTTCTTAAAATAAAGAGGTATTCCACAAGAAGCATTGAACAATACTCGACTCATATCACAAATAACGGACTGGGATGGTTAAGACGTTCAGCTTTTGCCTCTGTTTAAAATCTACAACTGCGTTCTTTATTTGTTATTCATCAGTCTAACGACGTTAAAAACTATACAATACTTACAAAAGTTCTTCTTAATTCACTCATCCTTATAAGACTCGTGAATGTATTATTTTCGGAGCATTCGTGTTCTTATTTTTGATTAATCAGCAACCATAATTTAACTAGATCAGGTTTTACATGATATATATTTGTATCACTTATATTTTTTTCTACAAATCACAAAGACTACTAAATTCTTTATTAAAGGATGTTACTTTCTTAATACTTTCTTTCTGTTTATCGTCTTCGGTCATACACAACGCAGTAATATAGATATTTAAATATAGGTCGCTTGACATCTGAAATTCGTTTGGCGTGTATCTTCACGTTGTAGGTATTCAAAAAGTTCTTATTAATGGTATAGTCCCAAATCGATGAGTTATGTAAGCGAGTGTGGATCAGGCGACCTTAAATTCAAAACGCTTCGCGCCCAAGGCTGCGTTACGTAAAGCGATGGGAGTAAGTGAAACGGAGGACCGCCCGTGGCCGCCTTCGGAATTTCTCCGCCCGAGCGGGAGG